AACAACAATAAAAACAAATTACAATATACCATTAGCACTGATAACAAAACTTAAGCATTAACGAACAGCAACAATAAGAACCCCACCTACGGCAATTGCACTCCTGCTCACCTGTGTAATGGGGATTGGGACCAGCCTGGGCGACACCACCTTCCCGCCTCCTGAAGTGGAGGAGGAGGAGACAGGGGCGACACTTTGGATGTGTGAAGAATAACCGGGCCGTGCGACTGGCTGCCCTGGCTGGCGGAGGGACGAAGGACCGTCGCAGGGGTGTTTGGGAGTGGACCCCTGACCCCAAGACCGTGATAGTAGTTGCACTTTGGGGCACCACCGGCCGAGATATTCCTAATGGGGATAAAGGGAAAGTGTTATAAAGGTGCGATAAGGTGAATGTTAGAGTTGTAATTGAGACTAATATCAATAAATACATATTCATAAACTAATCAATGCAATAAATTAATACATCAAAATATTAATTAAAATATATAACCAACAATCTGACTTCATAAAATGAAACTTGAGATGACCTAAAACTACTACTCCTACTACTACTACTATTAATAATAATAATAATAATGATAATAATAATAACAATAACAAAAACAATAACAATAACAATAACAACAACAACAATAATAATAACAACAATAATATTAATAAAGGAAAAAATAAAAATTATATTGATGATAATAATAACAATAACAACAGCCACAATAATGACAACAATGATACTACAACTACTACTACTAATAATAATAACAGTAATAGTAACAATAATAATAATAATCTTACTACTACTACTACTACTACTACTACTACTACTACTACTACTACTACTAATAATAATAATAATAATAACAACAACAACAAAACAACAATGATAATAAAAAAAAATTAATAATAAAAATAATTACAACTACAATAATTATTACAATGATAATAATAATAGTAATAATAATAATAGTAATAGTAATCATAAAATTATAATCATAATAATAACAACAACAATGACAACAATAACAATAATAATAATAACAATGATGATAATAACAACAACAAAAACAGCAACTCAATGATAATGATAATGAAAGAATAACTGATTATGCTAATAAAAAAGATGATAATGATAATAATGATGACAATAATGATGATGATGATGATGATGATGATGATGATGATGATGATGATGATGATGATGATGATGATGATGATGATGATGATGATGATGATGATGATGATGATGATGATGATGATGATGATGATGATGATGATGATGATGATGATGATGAGATGATGAGATGATGATGATAATAATAATAATAATAATAATAATAATAATAATAATAATAATAATAATAATAATAACAATAATAAGAATATAACAATTAGAAAAAAAACTATAATGGTAATAATAAATTTTAATAAAATAATATGATGTTGATAATGATAATAATGATGATGATACTAATACCTAATACTAATGCTAATATTAATACTATTACCGAAGATGACAAAGATAATAATAATAAACAAAAACAAAAACAAAAATCTATAATAATAACAAATATAAATAACATTAACAATGACAAGATATGTAACAAAAGCAACAACAATGACAATAGTAAAAAAAACAATGATAATCAATGATGATGATGACAATGATGATAAAAATAATGAAAAAAATATCAGTAATATAATCAATAATTAGCTACAAAAAAGAAAAATCACAAAATCACTGATATATACCTGATGAAACCACAACATTTGTATGTGTCTTGCGAACAACGGTGGCTGCCGCTCCTGGTCTGGCTGCTACAGTCGTCACGGGTCTACTACTCGAGACAGTGACTGCTGAGGTTGCCATACATCGGGTGGCTGCAACCGTGACTGTGGTGGCGACAACTGAACGTGGCGATCCAACGTTACGACAGCACCAGTCTGGAAGATTTAATTTGGAGCTCAAGTATTTGTTTTCTCATGTGGTTCCGTGAAAGACAGTGGAGAAAGATGGGAGGTAGGATAAGAAGAGAAACATGGAGAGTGGAAGAGAACGAGGAAAGGAGAAAAGATGGGAGGTAGGAAAAGAAGAGAAGCAAGGAGAGTGGAAGAGAACGAGGAAAGGAGAAAGACACAAAAAGCAAGAGACAGAGAGAGAGAAAATGAACGACAGAAAGAAAAAACTGAATGCCAGAACCAGGGCATTTGATTAAACAAGAAAGCAAGAAAAAAAAGATAGAGAGAGCAGGGGAGAGGGGGAAGAAGAAGAAGAAAAAGAAGAAGATGAAGAAAAAAAAGTACATATAACTTACAGGATTACGAGGAGGTGGCACAGTAGTGCGTGATGGCCTGGAGCCAGACCCCAAAACTGAAATGGAGTTTAGCTTGGCTGTAAGAGGTATGAAATGGGCAGGACCACTCGGGCCTCGGCCAGGAACCAATGCAGCAACACGACCGCCTCCATCGCCCGTCTGTGAAAAAATGCACAAAGGTTAGGATACTTGCATATATCTTGATTTTTTCATTATTTGGTATATTGTTATACACTGACTATATATTTTTTTCTTGTTTTAAGAAGGGATTGAAACACACTGAAATGTTTAAAAATTCACTGAAATATTGTCAATAATCTGAATATGAAAAAATACATAAAACCTAAATCAACTTGTTTTCATATCTTTTTCAACAAGGTTTCTTTTTCTTTTTTTTTTTTTTTACCTAACACAAAAGTTGTCTAATAAATCTTCTATATAAAAGACCTTCTTTGGTCCACCTTCCCTGAACGTATCTCTTTTACCTAAAAACTATATCTTTACTTATTTCTCAATTTATTTATTGGTTTCTTTCAAGTTTTATTCCTATGTTCCTTTGGCTACCAACTAGCTCATTCAACATGATTTTCTTCCATCTATCAGTACATATAGCAATAAAATTCCATTCTCAGTCTTTCTTGTAATATCCATGTCAATCTATTAAACATACATTCAACCACGTATCTAATTTACCAATCTACATCTAAAACTAGCAATCTATCCTTCTATCCGTGTCTATCTGTGATCTTATCCATCTCTAAGAATCTGTTTACTTTTCTACCTGTTTACTATTCTTGTATCTCTCTTTCTAACAGCATTATTCCCCTCTTTGCTACCAAAACCTGGCATTTGCTCAAACAGAGATCTAAATAGACTCCTGTACTGTAAATACACTACTGTCATTTCAACTTATTGCTTTGATGTTAATGGTTTGATACATTATGTTTCAAGGATATGATTTAAGCGAAAAGCATCTTACAAAGGTACTATTACATACTAGCACTGTTACCGTTTGCTTTTCACTCAAATCCCGTCCTTGAAACACTACTGATCAATCCATTAGCATCAAAGCAATGAGCTGGTATTTTCCACGAACATTGCCATTTGCAAATAATCAGCCATGGGTTGCCTATTGCCTTACTTGGGAGAGAGGCACTAACCCAAAACGATTTCTAATGAAAATTCCTCAAATGAGCTTTCTCTTTTACGATATGTTGGACAGGCTTGATCCATTGTAAATACTGATATACGGATCTCTTAGCCATGGGACTAACAATGATCCTGAAACAATGAACAGTCCCTAAAGAAAAGTGTACTTAAATTATAGGACTTCATAACATCAACCATGAATGTGCTTCCAATAAAAAAAAAAGTAATTAGAAAGAATCATTCATTAAAAATATCTTGAGGTATACAATAACTTCATACAAATTCATTAACCTAAATTAAGTCAAACTTGTACGGATCCAGGTATCTGAAGACCTTTATCTGATACTGTGTGGAAAATTATCTAAAACTATCTGATTACAGCCAAAATGACAATGCATATCCTGACACCTGTATCAGTTCATATTTCCTTCATTGCAAATTCTTCAAGTATCAGAGAAGTGTACAAAATATCAAAAGCAGTGAATGATCTTAACCTACATTTAAACATTCTCTATCCAAAAATGATGATTAATACAAATAAATTAAACAAATATTAAAAGACAATTTGAAAAAAAAAAAAAAAAAAAACAACCTTTCTCAGCATATTTGAAGAAAAGACATCTGTGAATACATAAAGACAATTCTATGAAAGCAATTAAAAGAAAGTGCAGAATCTTTGCAATAAATATAAAACAAACAACAAGACCTCAAATGCTAAAAAGAAAATAACAAGAGAACATTCTGAGCAAGAAAGGGGTAGGTCCTTCACTCAAGAATGTTATGTGTATGCTCCTGTTATACAAGACACTTATGAATCTAGAAAACCAATCTAGAACAAAAGATTTTCTGTCATCTATTTACACATGTCTTTGTGCAGTTACAAAACAGAAGACAACACAAGACTATCAAACCATATACCCACTTATCATTTATCAGCATTTTTTAAAACCTACAAGACACAACTCCAACATATCTGATTACATTGCTAATGTATAAATGTCTGTTTTGTCTATCATAAGAAATTAGTCATTATTGATTTGGTCACTTTACCGCTTGTAAATGAGTCGCTGATTATCTAATACCTAAACGATGCACAAAACAGTTAACCTGAAAAAGAGTCAAGAACACTAGTTATTCATTTTTCATATACAGATCATCCATTCCTCTGTCCATTAATTTACCTGTTTATCATTACTATATATACATATGGACCAATGCTACCTGATTTAGTGGTGTACCTGTTTACTACCTATCTACTCATGCATTCATTTAACAAGTCTATTCATCCATATGCCTGAATATCTTTCATCCAATCAGCTATTCAATATATTCCTAACAATTTATGTATCTTTCTCTTCATATTTTCCTATAAGTAAATCTGTAAATAAATTACAACATAACACATCTCTTCACTATTAGATTTTAAAAATTTAATCAAAACAATACCCCAAAAAATAAGATCTTATGGATAATTTCTTGCCCTATAATTCTTACTCTGTCTTGCTGGAGCTGTAAATATACAAATTTCTGTGGCTCTTTGCT